ATCTAAAGCACAGATACTCAATGCTATGCAAAAGATGAGGGTTGTACCAAATGAGGGTTGTAATTCTCAAACGCCTTTAATCTAATCCATTACTCTAACTAATCCCATAGTTTTCTGCTTAAACAGACCTCTTACCTCTTTGTTAATCACTTCAGAGCCAACTACTGATAGAGTCATGGACATAGTGGGTGACTGTGGTCTTATGCAACTCACTCTGTGCCTCAACATCTTTTGTTTGCAAAGCTTGCAGAAGAATTTGCTCAACCTTCGATCACACCACCCCACAGTGGAGATAGAGGATCTCACTGAGTGTTTTGTGGCTCCAGGACAGACAGGCTTGCAGTTACTGTCATGCTAAGGCAAGCAGCAACAGCAGCAGTAGCAAAAAAAAAAAAAAAAAAAAAGGAAAAAGTAACAATCCAGATCAGAGTGGTCCTTCTTTTGGCCTTTAACATCTGGCTACAAGGGCATTCATCCACCAGCACCCTGACAGCAAGGAGAGTGAACAATTGGCCCGAGCAGCCATCCAACTCAGCGCCAAGATCCGAGACTTCACACAGATCAACAACTCCCTGACCGCAACAAAAAGGGATCACTGTGACACTTAGCTAACTGACATAGCACTATGGCAGTGTCGGCTGCCAAAGGATCATGCTTAAGCCCCGAAAGCCATTCTCGCTGTCAACAATTAGACAAAAATCAGTCAAGATGCAGTCAACATAGTCACAAAAGACAAACCAAAAGAAGAAGAAAAAAAAAAAAAGGGCTGAACTGGTTATTTCTTATCATATCCCTGGTCATTTTCCTTTGGCACAAGCCCAGAATGGATGGAGGGAAATTTATTTAGTGGGGGAAAACCCCTTACAATATTCACACATTATTTTACACAAGAAAACAGGATATCAAAAAGGTGGAACTACAACGATCACGGTCACATAAATGGCCATTGATCCTCAGTATATCAGTTTAGTTTATATAACACACAAAGCCACAAATGTAAATATTTGCAGTTTACTGGCACGTTTAAAAAGTTTCTAAAAGCTTAAAAGGCCACTTAATATGAAGCGTTTTACAACCCAATCAGCAAATCATTTAGAAATAGTGCAACATTTTAGACTAGAAGCAAAAATATTTTCTTGTTTAATCTTTTTAATTTATAGTTTGCTCTAGAGCAAAAAACAAAAAGCACAACAAGCAAAGGATAACGTGATTAAAACATTTAAAGAATCCTTGTTCAGCTGTTGAGTTTCCTCATTTGTGAGACCATGCAATAACAGCCATTTTGTTGCAAACTACAGAGAGCATTGCTGGAATTGCAAACATTTAAATGTTAAACAGTGTCGTAAAGCAGGCGGTGATTTTGGAAATGTTTTTGTCAAACAGGATTAGCTGACTTTGTGTCGATACTACCTTCGGGGTGGGGAGTTATATATGGACCTCTGTACTTTATAAATACCTTTCCTCCCACTTGTTTACATGCCCCGTCACAAGATTTCCATTAATGGCTCAATAATGTAGCAAACCACGTGTTTTCTATCGTTAAGTCAGCACTCTATAACCAACATGGACGGGAGGAGGGGGGTACAAATGCATGTGAGCTGCAGCTAACCATGTTAGCAGGCTCGGCTGCTAGCAAGAGACACAGGGAGGGACCGGGAGTAAGTGTGCCGTATCCTGCCTGCAAACAGGCTCACGCACGCTGCTGGACTTTAGAAACTGAAGTCACATTAGTAACGGCTTGGCAACGACATATAGTGTTATGGAACTTTAAAGCAACTTCTCACACTTCGTCTGCTAAAAGCGCTTGTTTTCAAAGCCCGACAATTGATCGTCTAAACATCCACCGTTTGTTTCGATCGACCGCACTTCAAATGAGAATTTGATCAGCTGTAACGAAGTAACCCGAAGTCAGAGCAAAAACAAACAACCAAAAAATATGTCTGTGCCATTAATGCAACGTAAAGGGCACAAAATGGGCATCATGTTTATTTATTTGCATATTTTTTTAAAGCTACGTGGTTTCTTTTTCTGGACTGATACTGAACGTGATCTCCGGAAGCACATGTCACTTGACTATTGTAGCGCGCCCAAGCGTCGGGTACCGCTGTTAGCAAACTGCGTTTCCACTCAAAGTGACGAGATAAGAGATTAGCAGCAGGGCCACACTTTACTTAACTACAATTTATTGTGGTCACATGCCTGTATTACCCAAGTTAAGCTAGCAACTTAAACTCCAGGTGAGCGTATCCTCACCGCTTGCGTGATTAGCAACGTTAGCATCCCAGTTTGCTCGTTTAGCTAGCGTTAGCTAACTCAACTAGCCCTCAACTGTTTTGTTCGCCTCGCCTGCTTAAAAAAAATAAAAATGCCAGTCTGTGTTTACGATGTTGAAGAGGCGAGGCGAGAACTCGGCACATGTCTTTAGCTGATTTACTTACATTGTGTCGCTCGAAGTCATTAACCGACTTTCGGTGAGAGGGAGGAAATCCAGGTTGTACGCCGAAGTCATGCTCCAAAAAAAAAAAGAACAACACACACAGCGTCTAAACAACGAAAAGCGACGTCCACTCAACTCCTGTGAGACGGCGAGAAGACGAAGCAGAGCAGGTGCTGGGAGGGGGCGTCTTCTTTAAAACTGCAGAGAGGGAGGGAGGGAGATATAGAGAGAGAGCGCGAGGGCACCGGTATCCGCCTTATTCCTTCCTTCTTGTTTCTCTCTCTCTCTCGCTGTCTCCGAGCGAAATAAATTCAGGCGAGCCGCCGTCAACACTGCACACCGAGCTGCAGCAAAGCAGAGGCGTGGCCTCGTCAACAAAAGTCCGAAAGACACGCTGCGTGTTGCTCAACAATCTAAATACCCCTATCTAAATGACTGCAATGTCCCTTTAGAGACCACACGTGGTGCCCTATTGAGAGTTTACTAACCTGTTTTCTAGCTGCTCTAGCATCGCCATTGCATTCCAATAATGACCCACATTCTGCAACCCTTTTACAAAAAACAAAAAAACGTATTAATCAGATCATGTCGAGCCTTATTGTGAAATGACTCTATCTGAGAATGAATCAGTGATCTAATAATCACAATTGGTGAGCGATTTAAAATGTTTAAATATAGTATCCAGGCTATTACTATCAATCACACTAATGCCACTCCTGTTTCCATATCTTCCCAGCACTCTAAATTAGGCAACCGGGCCTTTTGTTTTTATTGGATTACTTAAATAAATAAGATTATTTCCAGGTTGTTTATTACCTTGCACTGCAGATCGGTCCATAAATCAATTCCCAGTCAAAAAGTTAGATGGGTAAAAATGTAGCTGTTCTTGTCTGCCTTCATCCATTCTTCCCTTCAGGGTCATAGGTCATATTCCCCCTTTGTGCTGGACTGTTATCTCCTAGAAGGTGGGGAGAGGGGGGAGGGGGAGCCTATCTTCCTTTGTTGTGCCGGACTTACAAGGTGAGGCCTCTACACGTGGAGGGAAAGGTAAACGGGCCGGGGGAGGTGGACTGTTGTCAAGTGCTGTTTGAGAGACGAGTTGGGGGGCTAGCCTAATTATCAAACCACTCATTACTGCTTCAGCAGCTGCACAGTCCTAAAATATTCTTCATAGTGAGCATTAAGAAACATCCTATTTATGAAATCCTACTTAATCCCTGTATCCATAGCAATTTCAAGGCAACCTGGCACCAGTGTCGGGTCTGCTCTATTAAACAGTGCCTGAAAGAGGCTTGTGTGCATAATGTGATAATGCAAACTCTTTTTCCATAAGTGCGGACGAGCCCACTGTGCAACATGCATCACCTTTAGCTTAAGGGGCTGATATCAAAAGGTACGCTAAACCTCTCTGAAGATTCGGGTTTCATTAAGACGGAGGCATCTGCAGCATCCAACACATTTCAGCTGTGTTGGTATGTACTATTTGTTTTTTCTAAAAAGATGTTTAATAGATTGGATTTTACATGCCTAGTGTCATGTCTAGTTGCTGGCACCTTCTAATACTAGACTGTCTTTCTTAATCTCAGATGATTACTACTCTAATCCTATCATAATCCTCCACATGTGCCATCCTTTTGTTGTTTACATCAAATGTTTTCTCCCTCATGCAGTGGGAGCTGAAGAGCCCACTCACCCAGCATTTAAATGTGCACCTTTTCGTGATTAAAAAAAAAAAGTACAAGGTGTAAAAATAGGCCAGCTTCAACTAAAAACAAAAAAGAGGCCACATCGTGTGTTTTTAAGCAGGACGCCTTTAACTTGAAAGTGCACTTATTCTTAGCTCTGCCTTTCATGAAATCATTTGTCGAATGGCCGACCAGCTGAAGTGCTCTCAAAATGGAGAGAGTGAACTTCATCTTATCTTTCCTTTGCAGAGGAAATCAACTGTTTCAGGATGTACTAAATAAATATAGCGCTGCCTTATCAGTGTAAAGTTCCACTGAATGTATGCAAATGCACATGTAAATGTTTCCTTTTCTTGCATTTAAAGATAATTGATATCTTCAGTTGTGTTTGACTGGCTCAGCACAGTGAGGCCTGGGCAGCTTTCAGCAGACATCCAGTCACTCGTACTGCTCTTCTTCAGTGGGCCGTGCAGTTCGAAGACAAACACCTACATCACTGACACCTCCACCTTTTTTTTAAACATTTATATTTCATGCAAATCTACAATTCCTTGAGGAAGTTTGAAAAAATAAAGAAGGGAGGTACATTTTTATTCAATTTTAGTGATACATCTTTCTTGGGAAGTTGAGGAGACATAAACTATAAAATGCGTTCAATTTAAACATGGCTTCTAGATTCCTGTTTAAAAAGAAAACCATATAGGCGCACCAGAGGAACACTACCCTGCCCACAGGCACACTCTCACAGCATGGGAGAACGACTCAGCTGGAAACAATACATCCTATGACAATATCCAGCCCAGACAAAGAGGCAGTCCAAATACGGGCTGCTCCACAAAAGCTAGCCCAAATTTGAATGAGGGGCCAACCCAACGTACCTCATAGGCAGGTCCTCATTCCTGACTGAGATCCCGGCCGCAGAGGGGGGACAGCGCATGCTGTTGGCATACAGACTCTGCACCAGGGCCAGCTCAGAAGAGTGTTCCAACATCGGTGCTCTGGAAAAATCCACCCGGTGTAACGGACACTTTCTTCTCTTTCCCTCTTTCCTCGGTGTGTCTCTCTCCCTTTCTGTGTCTCCCGCCCACTCTTTCTCCTTGGTTTAGTGCAGCAGAGCGGTGCCCACCCCCTTCGCTGGCTGTGGTGGCTGAAATAATCCTCTCTGACAGCTCATCGTGCGCTAATGCATTGTGCTGCCTGCGGCAGCGCAGTTTGCAGGCTGTAAAGCTGTGTCCACAGCACTCTTCGACTAATTGACACCCATATTAGGGAAACTTCAGAAAATTGGACATGGATGATTTATTCCCATTGTCACACTAGAGGAAATTAGATGAAACATCAACACAGTTGACACAGAATTTCATTCTGTTCCAGTCCTGATTTTGTAGCATGTTTTTTCCCCTTCTTTTTTTGGATTTTGCCATGTAGTTCAGTCAGTGAACTGCTCTAAATAAAAGCCTAAACAAGGCCAACTGGTTGATCAAGCCTAGCATCCTACACCTGCGCCCACCACAACTCATTTTATCAATAAATGCTCTGTCTGAGCACCTGCAGATACTAGAGATAAACAGTATAACCACTCTCCAGGCAGTGAGAGCATGTGCATATCACACTATGCATGAGTTGTCTGGTTACCGACCTGTTTGTGACAGCGAGAGCGCTTTCTATGACAGCCTGACATCATTACTATAATTGAGTAGATAGAGATAAAGATAGGCTGCCAGAATATAAGCAAACACTTAAGTAAGTGTGGGTACTTGTGAAATAAGGACAGATGACATTACTCCCCTTATTGTACCTGGAGTGTTTGAAGTTCACTGAGCAGCCCAAAACTGTGGTCCTACTGTGTTTTAGATTATAACGCAAACACCGATGCACAAATGACATGTGCCGGTATGTAATTCTACAAAACAAAGGTTCTCCACAGTCGATTTAAAAACCAGAAACCCCAACCATGAGAATTAAGAGCATGTTGAAAAGACCCAGCAGCTTTTTATCAAAAGTGTGTAGTTTTATCATTTGCATGGCACAAAGTTCACTCCACTCTGCTGGGAGCCATCTAGATAGGAAAATGAAGAAGTCAAGGCAGCTTTTTTTTTAAGCTCCTGCACACATTCTCTCGTACTCTCTCAGCCAATGTTTGTGCTGCCATGGACCAATCAGGTGAAATATCTGAAACTAATTTACTGCAATATTCTTTTCACCAAAACCCAGGAGGAACTCAATCTAGGTCTTCCCCTCCCGTAGGTGTTGTGTCCCGCTTGGGTAATATGACATTAAGTAGGAAAGTCATCTGAAACAGGGTCATGCCAGTGTGTGCTGATATCACAGTCGAGTACAGCAGCATGAACGGGCTCTCTGCTTCTTCTGATCGTGGCACGAAATCCTCTTCATCTCAGCCCCGCTCCTTCTGCTGAATATTTTAAACACTTGTGCTGAAATCCAGGCCTTTATGATGCCATGCTGCTTAGCGTGACTAGTCAGAGCCGCCGAGCACGAGGATAACTGAAAGATTTTCTTGCTGCTCTGCTATGAACACCTACAGTAAGCGTACAGTACGATAACGCCTGCGTGCTAATCGCTGACAACTGAAAAGAGGTGACAGAGGTGTAGTAATATGGCATGGGAATGATATATGAAACAAGGAGTATTGCTCTGAAAGGGAGCGTTATTGGGTTTCAGTGCATTTTGCGGCTGAAAAACAAAATGCATTCATGCCTGACATGTACTAAGTTGAATAACAGCACATGGTGAAAGCACTGCAGGTGGCCTGAACAGTGAAAGCAACCTCAACTTTCATTTTTTTTTCTTCTTCTTTTGCCACTTTTGGCCTCCCTCGGGACCATTTGCACAGACAAATTCTGTCTGTGTTTTTGCAGGTTAAAACTGAAACTGTCACAGCTCGGTGAACACTGCTCGAGTGCAAACACCACACGCTGGCAGCATGACTTTAAAGTCACACTTGACACTCAAATTTTCAAACGGTTACAAGCGGGCACAGCTTCCCCCCCCCCCCCCCCCCCCCCCTCCCCCGGCATCATAACTTGTTTGTTACCTATTCACCACGGTTAAAAATTTTAATAACTAATAATAAGAAATAGAGATTTAGGCCTTTTTTTAATAGCAAAATTCTGTGTTTGCAGGCACTGGGCAATAAAATTTATGATCCAACAGATGCTAGCAACAGGCACTGACAGCAAGAGACCTGACACCATCTTGATGAGGGAAAGAGACACCCAAAACCTGAGTGGAGTTGACGTTTTAGCACCAACAGGCTGAAGGCAGACACTGTTAATGAAATTCCTATTCATATACAGTCTGATCTTTTGATTTTTCCATCTCAACAATCACTTTTTATTTTTTTTTCAGTTTGACTACTTTGATTTTACAGATTTAGCACACATCAGTTCTCCTCCCACAATGACCTGCATGACTGGACGCGCCTGGTGTGATTAAAAACGCCATACCACATTGAAATGTCAGCTTATTTTGCATGGACAGAAGTAATTTTACTTCCCTTTTCTTCTGTCACGCATCATTTTTTCCACTTCCTCTTTCATTCTATGTTATCGGAAGATGTTGAGTAGAGAAAGAGAAAGGAGTGGATAAGTAGGAGGAAATATTCGCACGTTTAAAGGTGAATGAGTCAGGTTTGCTTTCTATGTCCACAAAACATCAAGGATTTAAAGATTTATACGCTGTTTGAGTACAGTGTACAAAGCTTCATTTGCAGGAATAATTTGCAGGAATGAGCAATCTGCAGATGGGTACATTTTGGTCATAAAGGGATGGATATGGTCAACAACAGTTGTCAGGTAAGCATTTAAACAATGTTCAGTGGGAACTAAGGAGTGATGGGTGTACTAAAAAAACATCCCCCTCTCTATTACACCACCATCAGCCTCAACCATTGATACAAGGTGGGATGGATCCATAGTTTCATGTTTGCAGCAGAAGTTGAGAGTCATCAGACTAGATGACCAATGCTCATGGTCTGTGTGAATTGTAGCCTCAGTTTCCTGTTTTTAGCTGACAGGAGTGGGACCCAATGTGGTCTTGTGCTGCTGTAGATCACGTGCTTCAAGTTTTTACTTGTTGTGTGTTCAGAGATGCTCTTCTAATGTGTGTAGCACTTTCTTCTTCACTTAAATTAGGACTGAACTGAAATATTCAGTCTATGAATCAATCGCAGATGCTAAACAGAAATACTGGGGTATCCACCTCAAAAACACAGCCTTCATTAGCCAACTGCCAGCACAATGCTGAATAAATTTTTTTTAAAACTCACTGAACTCAGACCTCAGAATTTCTCTACGCCCTTTCAAAGGTTTTCATATACTATTACTTTTCTGTAAAATATGACCTGTGCACCAAAATGCCAAGGACAGCACTGGTATTGCTTGTTCCCAGAAATATATGATGCAGAAGCACATTACAGCAGATACGTATGAAGATGTTTCACATCTCAGTATATAAAGTCATTGATGACTGGTAATCCGCTTCTGCTACATATGTTTCCTCCTCCTTCAGAGGCTTCATTGCAACGTTTAATTTCAAAGAATGGAAAAAGTGACACAAGACAAGCAGAGCCCACGTTCTAAAATTACCATCCAATGATAATTCTGCAAAGGATGTTTTACTACCTGCCCCCCCCCTACAGAAACCCACCTTAATAGCTTCTGAATGGCTGTAAATGTTACTGTCATTTATAGGGTGTCTTACAAGGGACAGTGCTTTTAGAGACGATTTCCTTTCAAGGCATGTTTGAGAAGATCCCAAATGCATTACCTAAGAGAGCAGTTATAGCTTTTTTACATTTATGATGTGGTGGAACACGGTTTGCACGAGGCTGTCTCGTCGTCCACGCCTTATGAGCAGGGCGCCGGTTTCTGTGCACGAAGATTGACACCGTGTGGTCATTCGAGGAAAGGCAGCAAGTCTACAAATATCCCCATTTGTAGCAGACAAACTGATCCACACAAAATCGCTCAGGTGACCTTCAGTGTTCAGTGTAACGGTAACAGTAACACAGCTGCAAGGGAGGATCCTGGATTAGTGAATTAACACGGACAAAATTCAACATACGAAACTGGGTTTGATAAAATATTTCCAATCTATTTCTTATAAAGCCAATGCAAAAAAAACAACCCCAAAACAATTGAAAGCGTGCACTCGTCGAACAAAAAAAAAAAAAAATCAAGGATGCATGGATGGGTTGGACAGGTGAGTTGGGTAAAGTTTTGATGGTAATGAGATTGACATGTTAAAGTCTGTGAGTACACAGACCATTCATCTTTAATATTCAAATCTCAGTGAAATTAATTACATTACAAGCACAGCTACAGTATAACTCCAGGACTACTCCATATGAAGGGAAAGGGGGGGGGGAAATAAAAATACAAACTTTAAATTTAAAAAAAATGTACAGAAATTACAGAAAAATCAGTAGATTTAAAAAGCAATATCTGAAAATGGATTTTTGAGTCAATAATCCTAAGAACAAAATGCACTTGGCTTGGAAGTTGGTATTTACACATTTATACATGCCTGATGCAATCATTTATATACATGACATTTCAGTGATACTGCAGAAAATTGGAAGAAAGGCTTGACACAAAGGTCATGCCATTTCTTGGCAACATGAGGGAAAACAGAAAAAAAGACAACAGCTGTTCTTCTTTCTTCCACTTTGTTGAGAAATTTTAACTCTGATTTGACAGAAACTGCCATGGTCTCCTTACACAGACAAGATCTCCAAGATTGGACAACCAAAAGCAACAAATAAACAATTTATAGGCAAAAAAAAGGGGGGGACCACATGAGAACTAAGGCTGATTATGTGCTGGTTGAATCCTTTTTTTTTTTATCCTCTTACCAACTCACAATGAATCGTGGCTGACATCTTTAAAAAAATCCTCAGAAGTTTGCATCAGCCATAATTTTAGCTTTCTTTAGCTTTTTTTTTAAATTTTACAGCAGTGCCATGAGTGTTCATTGATGGCTTTAGTCCAAAACAGTCCAAAATGTGCTTTTGCATAGTCTCAATGCGGTTTGTGTTTCCTTTTCTTGTGTT